ATCCAGTAATTTAATGTAGGTTAGTGTATATTAACTATATTAAACATATCTGATATATTAAATATATTAACTATATTAAACATATTTAATATGTTTAATATGTTAAACATGTTTAATATTGATATTTTTAACATTTTGTATTATATCACATTTGTAAATTATATGTAGATCATATAATTATTACCCTGTAACAATATATATAGCATTTTAAATAAATTTTCAAAATAAAAAAGCTTATATCTAAATAAGTTTAATTTATAAAAATTCTATACTTATTCTTATTTTTTTTAAATATTATAGATGAATTCTAATATTTTATAATTATTTTTTTTATAACCAATTGAAAATTTTTTATATTTATTTATAATTTTTTATAATTTTTTTAAATTGTTTATAAATTTATTAAATATTAAATTATAATTATCAATTTTAATTAAATTTATTAAAAAATATTAAATTTTTTAATTTATTTTATTATATAATATTTATTAATTTATTGTATTAACTTAAAATTTCTAAAATATAATTTCTTTAAATTATTTTGTATTTATTTTAAAAATTATCTTTAATATTATTATAAATTTTTACTTATAATTTCTTAAGTAATTTTATTATTTTTTAATTTTAATAATTTTAAAATATAAATTAAATATAATAATATTTAAAATAAAATTATTAATTAAAGGTTACTAATAATCAAAAAGATATTAATAAATAATTTAATTTATATAAAAATTGAATATACATTTATATATTTTATTTAAAAAGAATAATTGATATACTTTAATAAAATTAAAAGTAATTTTTTACATATAAATTTTTAACTAAACAATATAAAATAAATTAAAAAAAAATAGAAAATTATCATGTTTTTAACTTATTTTAATCTTTATCTTGTCTCTATTTAAATAAATAATTTCAAATAGTTTATTTGATTTATAAATATATTTTTTCTTTATATGGGTAGATTGCTAGAAAAATCAGGTTCTGAGAATTTTTTAGCAAAATTGAGATTTTATTGCATTTTAGTTTTTGATATTATTAGATTAAAATGTATTAAGCTCTTAATTTTAGTCAAAAATTTCTCAAAACCTGATTTTTCTAGAAACACTCCTATATAATATTAAATAGATTTTAATCATTATTATTAACTTTATTATTTTTTAAAATTTTATAAAAAATCTAACTTTTTCATTATCAAAATATAATTGATTAAAAAAATTTGAATATTATAACAAAAAAATAAATTATTTATAGATTATAATTATAATATTAAAAATGAAAAATCTGAACTTTTAAAATACTAATATTTAATTTTTATGAATAAATTTTTAAATATATACTGATATTTTATTTGAATTTTTTAATAAAAATTATTATTAAATATACTTTTGAAGAAAAATTTAATAATAATTAATAGAAATAGATCTAATAAAATTATATTAATAATTATAAATAATTTTATTTTAAATTATATATATTTATTACTCTATATTATTTCATTAAAGTCTATATAATTCTCTTTATTTTTTAAAATTTATTTAAAATTTTATATAAAAATTATATTAGTTTAAGAATAATTATGATTTAATCTATAAATAAAATAAAAAATAATAATTTTTTTTTAATAAAATATTTATTTTATTTATTTTTAACTATTTTTCTTACATATTTAATATTATTTTTTATAAAAATAAGTATTAGAAGTATTTAACTTAATAATCAAATTGATTTACCTAAATATATAAATCTCATATAGAAAGATTACTAAGAAAATTAAGTTTTAAGAATATTTTAATAAAATTTTGATTTTTATTGCATTTTAGTTTTTAATATTATTGAATTAAAATGTAATACGTCTTAATTTTAGTTAAAAAATTTTCTAAAGTCTGATTTTTCTAGTAAATTTCTTATATGATGATTTTCTTTTTTATTTTTATTTATTTTTTATAAATAAAACTATTATTGAAAATTATAAATCTCATATAATAATTTTTTAATTTTAAATAACTATATAATTTGAACTTTATCTTGTATAAAAAATTAGCTATAATTTATAATTATAATTATTTAATAAAATTTTAGAGTTTTAATGAAATCATAATAAAATTTTATTAGTAAAATCATTAAACTCAAATTTTTATCTTACATTATTTATAATTTTTTATCAATATTAGTTATTAATTTTATATTATTTAATAAAGCTAAATAACTTATTTATTTTTAAATATCTTTCTTAATAATAAAACAGATTTAATAATTTTATTTAAGATAAAATTCTTACTATTAAACTAAAAAAAAAATTTCAAATTATATAATCTAGATATTAATCTATCATATGATTAAGAATCTTTAATTATTTATTAATTTAATTAAAATCAAAAATTATTTGAAGAACTTTTATAATAATAAACTGATATAAAGACTAAAATTTTTAAATAACTTCTTATGTTAAATTATATTATCTTTAATTATTTACATTTTTATTTTATTTTTAACAATATTTCTATTAAACTTTATTAAAAAAAATTCTGAATATTACTATGTAATTTTCTTATTTTTTAGATTTTAAAAGAAACTTCTTATTTTTATCATTTATAGAAATTTTAATAAATTAAACAGATTTTTTAGAAGTTTTAGTTTTAATAAAGATGATTCTTTAATAATATTATTATTTATTCAAAGGATTAAAGGACTTTCAAAAAATTTCTTATAAATTAATTATTAATAATTTTAAAATTATCAGCTTGATATTCAGATTTATTTAGAAATTAGCTTTATATTTCATATAATTAATTAAAGAAAGATTAATGTTATCTATAGATTTATTTTAATAGGATTGATAAAATTTTAGAATTATGCAGATTTTTGTATAATTTTATAAATATTATAATTTAATTTAAAAAAATAAGATTAGTTTATACTTACAATTTTAATAATTATTTTTTAATTTTTTAGATTTTTCTTTATTGTATATTTTATTATTAAAAAGAAACCATTTTAATGGTATTTTTTATTTATTAAAATAATTATTTCTTTTAAATATTAAAGATACTTTAATTTAATATTTTATTAGTTTAATTTTTTATAATTAAATTTTATTCTAATATATATTAAAATTATTAAATATGAAAAAATTAGAAAATTTTTATAAAAATAAAAAAAATATATAATTGATTAAAAAATAATATTATATTATATTTTTTATTTAAAATTCAAATTTATAAAAAGTTGAATTAATTTAAATTTTAATTTCTCTTGGTTTAAACTTTTTGATAAGTATTAATAATTTTATTTAAATTTCTTATTAAAAATTAAATAATTAGCGTTAGATATAAATTTATTTAGATTTTTAAAAAAAAGTTCTGATTATTGATGAATTTAAATGCATTTGAAATAGAATCATAAAAATAGTTATAATTTTTGTTTTTTATTTTTATTTTTATTTTCATATATTTGTGTAATTTGACTTAAATTTGATAAACTATTATAATACTATATTATTAAAAAATTATATTAAAGATTTATTAAAAAATCTATTAAATATGAGTTTTAACTCTTATTATTTGGTAAAATAATATTTTAATATAAAGTATAAATCTGAAGAATCTATGTAAAATATATATATTATATTTTATATTATAAAACATATGGTAAATTAATTAAAAAAATAAATACAATAAAAATAAAATTAAACTATAATTAATCTCTATAATTTTATTTCAAATATTTTGACTTTAATTAATCACCAATATTATCTTTATATAAAAACCAAAAAATTTATATTTAATGAAACAGTTTTAATAAAAATAAAAAAAAATCATTTTTTATAGATCAGATAATAAACATTTCATAAAAATTTTTAAACCTTTTAAAAAAAAAATTGATTTAATATTTAATAAAAGAAAAATTAAGTTTTAGCTAAAATACTCAGTTAATTCTAAGTTTATATTTTTAAACATATTTTATAATTATAAAATATGTTTTATATCTATTTTTAAATACTTTTTTTAATTTTTTATATTATTAGACAAATTTCATTACAAAACAAATGTATTGAAATTCATTATTTAATATAAAATTTTATGCTAAAAATAATATTGAATGTTAGCTTTCTTTTTATCATGAAGAATATAAAAGAGATAATTAATTTTTATAATTTACAATTAAATAAAAAAAACGGAATAATTACAATCTACATGTATTTCAAATTTATTGAATAATATACATAAGAATTTGGATTTTTCGCCAGTATTTTCATTTATTGAAGGAAATCTTATAATAAGATTTTGGATCTGATATATACTTTCTCATCGCCAATTTAATCTTAACTCGCCAATTTTAATATTTTTCGGTTATTGTTACATGTAATAAATATTCCATAGCATCCTACATGATCTATATTAAAAAAGGAGTTAATATTTAGCAATTACAAACGTTGTAATCCATCTAATAAACTATTGAAGATATTATGTACAATAAACTTTTAAATAGTGGTCCTTCTTGCGAGTTGTATTTTAATAAAGGTGATTTTATTTTTAGATTAAAATAAATCACATAAATCACTGAATTGATTTAAATTAACACAGAAGCATTAAAATCGGTCAGTTTATATCACAGAATTTAGTTGTCTCTGGGCGTTCTAGCGATAAGTTTTGAGGATTAGATAATCTCGTGTTTTAACTTACAGACATTACATTTAGTAAGGACGAAAGAAAGTCTAATGTAAATATACTATAAAGTATTAATTAGTAAAAGATTCACGTCAAGATAAGATTTTACTTCATTTAAGCGTCGAATGGAGGGGGATATCGATTAAATTTTATTAACTCATAAATTAATATTAAAGGTAATACAGATGCTCAAATATTCATAATTTTGCGGATGAAAATTTTCTTAGATCGCGTAATTATTATCTAATGAAAAAAATAAATAGTCAAAAGTGGAAAATTATAGCATGAAATTTTTATATTAAATACTTTATAGTATATCCTGTAGATTCACTGTGATTTGCCTGTACCCTATGTAAAAAGAAAATCATCAAATTATACCTTATAACATTACGTATTCAATGTATACACACATTTCCAAGAATAAAAGGAATTTCATGCCCAACATCATAGGTTTTGGTCTCGTACATTATAATTTCGTTTCCGCAAATACGATTTGCTATTTTTAACATCCTTCCATATAGGGTATTCCTATTTAATCAAAATAAATAAACATTCGTATTAATATAAAAATATATTGATTTAAAAAAAAAAAATCTATAAATATATAAATGCTTAATTAAAATTTTATATTTTCCTGGGGAAACATATCGATATGTTCCGATCCATTAATATCTGAGGGTTCACTTAAAAAATGCTTCGATGGCAATTCTAAAGATGTCGAAGAAATTGACCGAGTGGGAAATACGATACTAGGTGTTTGAGTGGCCCTTTGATAATGAATTTGAACAGATGCCCTTAAATTTTCAAATTGATCATTCATTTGCGCAATATCCTGTTGAGCTTTAACTAAAGCTTTTTTAGCTTCATCACGTTCATCTTCTGCTTTACGAGCGTAAGTCTTCATATAACCTAATTGTCTTTTTAAACCTTTAAAGAAACCATGAAAGAATCGGTTTCTGTGAATGCGACAACACAGAAGGTCTTTTTTGATATTTTAATTGATAATTAATTTTAAATTAAATCAACCTTACTTTCTTTATTGCTCGACCTAATTTTTGGCTGTGAACTGTTTTCCTTAGTGCCATTTTTCTTATAATAATTAATTGTTTCTAACCTTTCTTTGCGTTCATATAAATTTTGTTCTTCCAATTTCTCCTCTCTCATTTGATGTTCATTTGAAAATTGCTGTAGTTTTTGCTGAAGAATTAATTTTTTATTCTTCAAACCTATGTCTTTATCAATTTTACGATGTCTTGTTTTTTTAATTTTTGGTAACTCTATCTCAATAAAAATGTCATCATCCATTAAACTACATTCACCAACTATTTGAAGATATTCTTCTCTACTTGACCCTCGTATTAAATCTTCTTCGGTCATATCAAATTTACTCGTTGGATCAAAGTTAGTTTTTGAATCATCAAAAGCTTTTAAATCCAATTCCTCACCTATTTTGAAAGATTTTAATGTTTTACCAAAATTTTCAATTACTTCTTCATCTCCTGAAGAAGAAAAATATGATAAATCTCGTAATTCATCTTCAACTTCATTATGACATAATTCTTTATCTGTTTCATTTAGTTCAATTCTATCTAATTTTTCATAAAAATCATCGTAATCAACATCATTTTTTTGTCCTTTAACTGTATCACTACCACTAACTTCACCAAATGTACTTGTTGATGATACAGTTAGTTCTATTCCAGCTTGCTCTGTCGGTGGTTCAATAACTTTATCCATGTTATTATGTTCCAAAAAAATTATAGTTTAAAATAACAAAAAATAAAAAAAATAAATAAATAAATAAAAAAAAAGGATAGGTCAAAATATTTACATAACAAAAACTGAAACGAGATTTTCACGTGATTTATTGTAATCAAAAAACAAATTATTCTTTACGTGATTTTGGCCGGCATTACGCCATTTAGGAAATTATCCATGTGACAAATAATATGGATTTCATTACCGAAAAAAATTCTGTTTTCAAAATATATAGTAAAAAATGTGAAAAATGAAGGTATAATATAAAATGTCAAATTATATGAAATCATGTAGAATAAAAATTTTTAAAGATTTTGCAAATAAAATATAAATTTTAATATGACAATTTAAATCAAAATAAATTATATTTAAAAAACCTTACATAAGTAAAAAAAATTTTATTGTTTAATTATTATAATAATTGCTTATTATTAAGTATACAATCAACTTTTTGTTATAATGAATCCTATATCTTAGACCTTAACTTCACTATAAGATTATGTTGAAGATTTTAAGAGATTTGATTGGTCAATTCACTATAACAAAAGTATTTTGTTCAAAAAATTCGTTATATTAAGAGTTCATTATATCAAAAGTTAATTATATTAAGAAATTTTACATATAAATTAAAGCATTTTGAAGAGAATAATTTTAAATATAGTAAAAGATAATTTTAAATAGTTAAACATTAATAATATTTATTACCTTTATTATAACTTTT